TTTCTTGTCGGCTTAGTCCCTTTATTAATCCGGGGTCGCCACAGCGGAATGAACCGCCAATTTATCCAGCAAGTTTTTACGCAGCGAATGCCTTTCCAGCTGCAACCCATCTCTGGGAAACACCCACACACACATTCACAGACTACAGACAATTTAGCTTACCCAATTCACCTGTACCGCATGTCTTTGGACCGGGGGGGAAACTGGAGCACCCGGAGGAAACCCACGTGAACGCAGGGAGAACATGCAAACTCCACACAGAAACGCAAACTGTGCCGAGGTTCGAACCAGCGACCCAGCGACCTTCTTGCTGTGAGACGACAGCACTACCTACTGCGCCACTGCCTCGCCTATCTATAAGTTTTCAAAATTATTTTAAATATCTTTATTTGTGTTCTACAGAAACAAAAAAACAAATCTCATAAAGGTTTGTAAGCTCTAGGGTGAGCATATGGCGAATGCATTTTTATATTTGTGAGAACTGTCTCTTTAAGAAGATCTTCAAAACTAATATGCTACAAGTGCAAAGGATCACAAGTATACAAGTCAAACAAGGTTGCATGAATAACTAACACTGCTCTTTCCTTACAAATCATACCCATTTGCCATCTAAGCTAAAGACCAACAATAAAAACGGAGAAAGCCTTCGCCATACAGCTGGAAATATTTTTTTCTTTGTCAGCCATGAATATTGGCTCGACGAGCCTGGGATAATACAATGCAAACAGAGGGAAGGATGCAATCTGGTGAGCTATTGTCACGCAAATATCATCTTCACAGCGAGCCAGATGTACACGTAAACATAAGGTGCTTTTTCACAGCCCACCTACACAACGTAGCTCGAGTGCTTGCATAAAAATAGGGTGACCAATGGCATATTCTAATATTCTAATAATACATGAAGGATTTTATGTAAGGATTAATTCCCACGATGCCTTGGGGATTTGATGCATATAATTAAAGTATTACCAAAAAGGATTTGAGGCCTCAGAGACTTGTTAACATGCCTGGACTTCACACCTGCCAGCTGAGATCTACTGCTGGCCCAAAACACACTAACAGCTCCATTATGTTTACCAAGCAGGTTACATTTGCCAATATTTCCCTGTGTTCACAATGGGATGGGTGGATCATAACTATGGGTGGCCATAGTTGTTTTATGCATAGTGTGACCAGACTTCTCTCTCTTTCTCTCTCTCTCTATATATATATATATTTTTTTTTCTTTGTCTCTTTTTATAAATAGAGTACATGTATAGTGCTCATACTCAACAAAATGCTCCTCTCTATTTCTTTTCTACCTGTTAACTACAAGCTTTGCAAACTTGATGACTTAGTTACATGATATATTGTTTACATGATGTGGTAAAGACATTGTTCCCTGGTTGGAAAATTGAAATTATTTTAGATGAAATACATTTCAGGAAATTGTACTGGGTCTTTTGACATGTTTTCTATTGTTTATTTGTGTTATTATTCTATAACTATAGTAAATCTCTTTTGTGTATGTTCTGATCATTCGTTCATTTTCTTTTCAGCTTAGTCCATTTATTAATTAGGGGTCACCACAGCAGAATGAACCACCAACTTATCCAACATATGTTTTACATAGCGGATGCAACCCTTCTAAATGCAACCCAGTACTGGGAAACACCCATAATCTCTTGCATTTACACCCACACAAACACGACGGACAATTTAGCTTATTCAATTCACCTTTAGCGCATATCTTTGGACTTGTGGGGGAGACCGAAGTACCTGGAGGAAACCCACGCCAACACGTAGAGAACATGCAAACTCCACACAGAAATGCCAACTGGTCCAGCCAAGGTTCGAACCAGTGACCTTCTTGTTGTGAGGCGACAGCGCTACCCACTGTGCCACCATGCCGCCCCTCTTTGAAAATGTGTATGATAATTTAGTTTTTTTAATATACTTAGTTGATCTTTGTGCTTTTACTTGAGACTTGGCTCACATTTTGATCAGGTTATTAGTGAGGCAAGTTGAAAATAACAGTACTTTGGATTTATCATATGAAGTATTCAGATTCAGATTAGTATTATGAAGTATTATAGCCAACACAAATGAGTCGATGCCTGAAACGCTCTTTGAGCCCTTTCATACACCCAGCCCAATGAGGCGCATACATGTTTGGCGTGATTTGTTGCTATTGTCAGACCAGCGCAACAGTAATTTTCACATTTTGTGCCACATTGTTTTAATAGAAAATCCATTTGTGGCACTGTGTGGACTCATGGGCATGCTGGTCTATATCGGAGGTGTGTTAAGGCCAATTGTTGGCGCATTGCTATTTTGAGGAACTGAAACTCAAAACACACCCATAACCCATTAAAAGAATAAGCACAACCCTGTTAGACCATGCCACGGGGCGCAGAGCATATTTTCCCGTCCTTAAAAGTGGATTCGGACATGCCCTTAATGCTTTTGCGCCATGCATGCACTTTAGACTTTGCGCCTAGACTGTTAAAATAAAGCCCCTATTGTGATTTTACGCATATGCAGAAGACAGATACAGTAATATACAAAACATATGCCACTAATTACTAATCATGCATTTCAATTCAATTTTACCCTTAAAAATCATATACAAAGTGCACTTAGGGGTTTCATTATATTAGTGTGGATGTAGAACATATTGTTTTTTTTTAAATATTGGTATCATATTGAACCATCTTCACTAGTCGACAATAGCATTTTATAAGGATTGCTTGTACAAAATGCTCAAAATGCTTTAGTTGTGATTACTGCACATGCATAAAATGTAATGGCTGGGCTAATACAGAGAGACCGTACAGAGACTGTAATCGTCTTGTGCTATTCTTCTTGCTCAATCACCGTAATCAATTGCAAGATATGCCACCACATACTAATGCATCCAGGATGCACTTGCATGACTATTTGCATATATTCTTTGGTTTGATGTCCTCATGTTTTGTTGAAAGACAGCAATTTTGTGTTAGATTGCATTGGATTATACAACATAACATTCAACTGTAACACTATTGACATAAAAAGCAGGTACAATACTGGTATAAATAGCGATTAAGTTACAATATGAGTCGCATAACTAAACAAATGTAATCTTTTTCAAGTATCTCAGTTTGAATAGTCCACACTATGGAACAAAAATACGTTTTCAGAAAACATCTTCAGAAAGCAGTAAAAAGCTGCCTCAGAATGGACAGAAGTGCTTTTAAAACATACTGTATATGGATTCATGTAGACATCATTTACAAATTGAACTGGCTGAATACCATAGGTAGGGTTTCCCTGAGAGAGACAAAAAGAAAATAAAGTTTGAAATCAGACTGAAAAGCCTCTTGTTTTAGCAGTTGTCGATGAATACTGCTCGCCGTACTATGATGAAATATGAATTGAAACCGAATGTTTCGAGGTTGTTAATTAGGCAGTGTGCTTGACTAAATCAGAGAGGTTAAGACTCCAGCAGAGCAGAGAGGGCAGTGAGACTGTGCACTGATGAGCTTGCTGCTTCTGAGATATAAGAAGTTATATACTCTATGTACTGTATATTTATTATGTATAATTAATTGTGCTATTCATTATATTGCTTACATGCAGTGCAATGTACTACTTAATTACTTTTTATTTTACATATTAGTACCTAAGAGGTACAAAATCGCTTATTGGGGATAAAAGTATACTTTACAGTTACTGATTAGATACAAAAGTGTTTCTTTAAAAGGTACTGGTCCAGTGAGAGCTTTTGTACCTTTATTTCTGGTGTTATAGGTGTAGTGTTCATAGACTTTTATATGTAAGAATGAAAAGTATAGCATTTTAAGATGGTTAGCTGGTTTTAGCTTGTCAACCAGCATGGTTTTAGAGGGGTTTTGGTCATTTCCAGACTGGTTTCAGCAATTTCCAGCCTGGTCTTAGCTGGTCAGGCTGGGAAATGACCAGCTAAAACCAATTAACCATCATGGGCCAGTTTAAGCTGTTTTTTTTCAGCAGGGACACCTTTTGTAAAATTAAAAAATATGTTTTCATTATCATATGATCATAGATAGCCAATTTAATGGCTTACTGAATAAAAACACTAATTTCTAAAAAAAAAATAAAAATTCAAACTTTTGAATGGCAGCGTACAACCTTATCAGTAAAGCTAATTATTAAAATGATATTCATAAGATAATCTATCTTCTTGCGTATTTAATTTAGGTGATACTTTATTTATTTATTTTTAAAGTGAGCATGATAAACGTTTGCTTTGATTCCAAAGCAAGTCTCTAATCAGTAATTTCAATACATGACCTGCCAGAAACCTTTTTGCCAGCCATGTTTAATTACTAGCTATTAAATGCACAGTTATTCCAGGCATTACAGTAGTCATTAAATCCTAAGGTAAATTAACAGTTCCTCTGTCCACAGATAAAAAAGTTTCACAGCATTAGCAACAGAAAGAACAACACAAATGATACTAGTCCTTAAAAAAATAAACAACAGCTAAAAAAAAACAAAAAAAAAAACAAGCTTTCTCACTTCGTTTTTATGATTTTTAAGTGACTGAAACACAAACTGAATACCATATGCTGATGATTTATAAACTCATGCCACCTTTTACTAGTTTTGAAGGCACAGGTTTTTAAAAGGTAAAAGGTTTTTTTTTTTTTTTTTTTTTTTTACATTTAAGCTTCTATAATCAAGACCTAGGTGCATATATCAACCTGAAAACATGAAAAATCACATGCTAGTAACTTTCTTTTTATATATATATATATTTATATATATATTTATATCTTTGCATTTAAAGGCACACTCACAAAAACAGAGCATTTTTGCTCACACACAAATAGCGGCAAATTTGACAAGCTATAACAAGTAATCTGTAGATTATTTCAAGATTAGTCTTCACAGAAACGTTCTGGACATACTAACAACTTATTTTTACAACTTACAAAAAGGAGCATAATAGGACCCCTTTAAGCACCCAGTGACCCCTGATCCCTAAACCCCATCACCTGTTCATTTTCGGTGAAGACACGGCGGCCGAAGCTCCAGATGATGTTAGGTGTTGGATCACCCGTCGCCTCACAAGTCAACGTGATCTGCTCCTCCAACTCAGATGCCGTCTGGTTTTCTAGGAAGGTGATCTTAGGTTGCACTGTTGGTTCGCAGAAAAACACAACACTTAAAACACACACCACAAACACTCTCCTTAGGGGAAAAAAAGAATTATTCTCCACTGTGCAATTACTAGGCCTTTATAATGGTCATAATACCAAAACAGTGCTCTTAAGTTGATGAGATGAGAGTGCCTCACTGGCTGGGAGCTTTCAATATTTAATCAACACATTGTTATATTTTATAATTCAAAAGAGGAACTTTGTTTAATGGATGTGATGGAGTAGCGCTTTGATTTACTTTTATTTGCCGCAGCTCTAATCTAAGTGCTCTGAAGTAGCGCCAATGGTGGCTGGAGAAAACGTAGGAATGATGAGAAGAAAAATATTGTGATTGTGTTTTGAACTGCGACATAAACATTTAAAATCTTATATTCATGCAAATTGGATATCGTGCTAAAGAACAAAGGCATAAAAAGCAGTAGCTTTCAGGTTCAATGGTGTACTTAAGCTATAAATAAGAACATTAGAATTTTTAGCTGTGCATTAACATTTTTTGAACAAACATTGAGAGTTCACACTCTTAATAAAATAATTAAACTCAGATCACTTATATATGATTCAAAAGGGAATTCAGTTTTATGTGCAAAAGTGTTTTTGGATACATTGAAAGCATATTGAAGCATTATCTACCTGAATGTATTCAATTACTTAGAGAAAATAAAGTGCCAAAAAGAAATTCAGTGTAAAAAATACTTGCTATTATATTTTATACAACAGTTCTGTCTGGTTCTTGAATATGATTGGTTGATAGCCAAGCTATATTCTGCAAATAACAGAATAACCCTTCACCCTATAGGACACTCTAGTTTGACAAATATTGCAGCTGTTGGACAACATACTGTACTTTTGACGTTTTTATAGTTAAGAATGTAGTTGCTTGGACTGCAACTATGCAGTTTATTTATGAGCATAGTGGCTATTTTTAAATATTTATAATTTCGGAGCATTGGATTCAGTGCATCGGCCGGCATCAGCCTGTCTGAGCAGACCAAAGAAAGTGACAGTTGACTCAAGATGGTGACAGAGACCGCATAATAAATCCGTAAGGGGAAAAAATAGCATTATCAGTTTGAAACGACAGCTAAAAAATCATTATAAATCAGGTAAGTGACATTCTAAGTCGATCTTTCTCTTTTGTATTTTGTAGTGATGTATTTATACCACAGAAACTGGTAGTGTTTGCTTTGCTTTGGCTTTTTTGGGGGTTAATTATTGTGATATCCTGATTGCTAAAGAAAAATACTGGGAAATCTTTGTAGATTTATGGCACTTCATTCAGTTCAGCCTTATAAACTTAAAATGTACATGTTTTGTCATCACGTTAGACATTATGCAGGAGAATCATTCAAATGAAGCTCTAAAATGACGTTGGTGAGTTAGTAATAGTTTCTGCTGTTCTGACGTCAGCTACAGATGTGAATTATTTATGGAAGAAAGTAGTTCCTCGTACAAAAGGATTTTTGAGACTCCGTGTTTGATTTCCTTTTTTAAACACACAATTATCCCATTGAACTGCTGTATAAACGGAATATGACACTCGTAGCAGTGTGATATGACCTGCGGCCTCGAGCCAACGCATGCCTCCCACCAGTGCTGATATACAGCCATATCACACTGCTACAAGTGTGATATTGCTCATTTACACAATTAAAATCTTGCTGACAACCAGGCAAAACCAAATAAAAAAAATATTAACCATAAATTAAAATGATTCAGTATTTTGTGATATTTTATTTATTATTTTCATTTTATAATACCATGTTTCACTATTATCAACAAAAAGATTATTTCACTACAAACTTTACTATATATATATATATATATATATATATATATATATATATATATATATATATATATATATATATATATATATATATATATATATATTCATCTGTCCACAAAACACTGGTCATTTAATAATTATCCACTTGTATAGTGTAAGATTCCATTCTATCACCCAAACGATGGAATCTGATGAATGGTCGTGTAAGCCTTTTCTAGCACGTTTAAAAGGATTGTGTTATTTATTATTAGCATATATTTTTATTTTTTTTAAACTTTGTATTCAATCTGATTCTAATTTTAAGTGACCATCAAATTTGGACTGTATTTCTAATTAGGAATGGATCACATCAGTGCTTAATTGTGAATTGCGAGGTCCCGGTACAGATCAGGGTAACGGATTCGGCATGTTACCCGAGGATGGAGACGTGCCATGCACGAAAATGGAGAGCGGGGGGAATGAGGGGACTAGTGCAGTAGATGGCAGAAGGGTGTCGCGGATGATAGTGACCAGGTGGGGGTATCGTGGACGAAAGTGAAGAGTTGGGGAGTCGCAGAAGAAAGTGAGTGTGAACAGCGGATGGGGGAGGAGGGCAGTTGAGCAGGGGGGTCGGTAAAATGAGGTGCTGGATCAGATTTCAGAGGTGATGGATCCAGATCCTACGTGTTCCAGCACAAATTAAGCCCTGGGTCACATTCATTGTTTATGACTTAATTTAGAGTTCTGGTTTTTAGTAATTTCACTCTGCAATGCTGAAAATACAACAGGATTGGCCCTTTGCATACAGTAGATGTCATTATAGATGACATTCAGTGCATACCATGTAGTTCAAACACATCATTCCTTTAATTTTGCAACATTTCATGCCTTAATAATCACCAAATCACAATAATTGATCTTAAATTGATTAACTTAAAACATGAAAGTTTATTTGGTGGCCCATGTAACATGTGACATAGCTTTTCTTTAGCTTACCAAACACATTGAGCGTGACTTCTTCACTCCTCTCTCCAGCCTTGTTTCTAGCGATGCACTTGTAATCTCCCTCATCAAGCTTATTGACGTCTTTGATGGTCAGCTCCGACCCATCTTCATTTAGACTGTACTTCTCATCTGATTCCAGCTCCGTATTACCTCTGCAGGAAAGAAGAGAGGATAGGTTTACTGTTTGGCCTTGGAGCTGTTACTTTCTCTCTGAAGTCATGAATACATGATGTCTCATCTCGACTAGAAAACACAGAGAGAAAGTGTGCCTGGCCATGTAATGGATTCTTCATCCTGCAGTGCACAGCTTCTCGTGACGCTGATAGTCCACGAAATAAACGGCAGATCTGCTTTGTCATCTTGGGTTTCTTGACACGTTCCTGTCTTGCAGCCAATATAAAAGCTGTAAATAATATCTGAGGGCCATAAACATCAAGCTGATGGGCTTTTTTGTTGGGAAGAATGCTGTGCGCTGTGTTTCCCTGCGATGCTAAATCAGTCATGCAAAGTTTGGATCCGAATACCTGCTCTTTTTGCTTGTAACAGCAGCAATTGAGCGACATTCTCAAATGGCCCCGGAATGACAGTGCTGTCAGCGAAGGAGGGAAATAAATGAGGTTGTGGCGAGCGCTCTTATCCCTCCTTCTCCCGAGGCGACGCTCAGACTTGATGCCATCTCGTTCTCTCATTCTCGCGCCAGTCACGACTTGGTTAAAGAAGTCACTGGAGTTTTGACTTAAAGCCATACTGAAAGCTGCCAGCTGCCTTATAGCTGACATGGCTAACGGCGGCTGAAAGGATGAAGCGCTGCCTCTGCCATTCATGGCGCTTTTAGTTTACAAGCTCCAATAACTCTGATCCTTCTCCCTCTCTGGATTCAATGAAAACGCTTAGCTTTCCCAACAGAGATTTGGCTGAACTTTTTCGGCGCCATTTTGGCACAGATGGATAAAGGAGCTGCTAACTCTGAAAATAAAATAAAAAAGAGTGGATGATAAATGAAACATACCGTGCCCACTTGACAGTGGGTTCTGGGTAGCCATCTGCGTGACAGGCCAGCGTCACGGCCTGGTTGATGTCTGCAGTGGCATTAAGCTCAGTGTAGCGGGTCCTGATGCTTGGCAGAACTGGGAGGAAAAGAGAAAGGTGAAAAGAGTGTTCTTTGCAAGCTACTGTTGTTAAAAAACTGTATTTATATATACCCTTTGGGGGGGCGGGGGCTAAGTGATTTAGGGGTCTTAAGCAATTCCTGGGATGGGACCCTATTGAAACTCAAAACACTCTATGTCTCTATAGATTATTCTCTTTGTAGATTTGTTTTGTATATATATATATATATATACACACACACACTACCGGTCAAAAGTTTGGGGTCAGTTTATTTTCCACCTTTTTTTTTTTTAAGAAAATGATTCTGTTCATCAAGGTGGCATTTAATAAATGTAAAAACAAAATGTTAAATTGTTAAATACTTAATCGTAAAATATTTATTTATTACTTATTGTATGTAGTGTCAAATAAAATTATTACTCCAGTCGTTATTGGTTTTATTATTTTTACCATTAATAACAACAAAAACAATAATAATAATAATAATAATAATAACAATAAATATCATTATTATTATTGTTATTATTAGAGTTCTTTCTGAAGTATCATGTGACTCTGAAGACAGCAATAAAGTAATAGAGTAATGAAGCTGAAAGTTCAACTTTAAAATCACTGCAATAAATTATTAAATTAAATTATAAACTACTTTTGTTATTTTTTTGTTGTATAGAGCAATAACACTTCACAATTTTACAATTTGTACTGTATTTTTGATTAAATAAATGCAGCGTTGGAGAGCAGGATAAGCTTATTTTAAAACATTTAAAAATTCTACTGACCGCAAACTTTTGACCGGTAGTGTATAGATATATAGTTTTTAAATATATTTAAAATGAACAATTTATCTTCCTAATGTAAAATTGAATACAATAAATTCACAAATGAAAAATAAGTTCACAAATGTATGGTTAATTAGCCATATCTCATTTGTAAGTCGCTTTGGATAAAAGCGTCTGCTAAATGACTAAATGTAAAATGTAAATGTAATATTCGTGATTAGATTTTAATATCTGCATGTGCCGTACGGAAGAAACATTCCACTATTCATAGGTTTGCCCCTGGTTAATATAAATAATAACGTTAAAATCTGAATGGTTATAGACAGATTTGCTACAAAAAACACATAATAGAACATTTTTAAAAGAGCTGTATGATTAATATAGACTGCTTGGCATTTCCCAGGGCCCTAAGCGGCTGCTTAAAATGCTTATTGGTTAAGTCTGCCCCTGTGTGTAGCAATGATAAAGCACAACATAGTTACTAAATGTTCCTTTACATTTCTTTACTACAGAGCATTGACATACTGTTTCTTAAAAATAATAATACATTTATTTAAAAATAAATACAAAATAAAATTCATTCCAGGAAGACAAAATACTCAATCCATAGAATAATTTAATAGCTAATAATATGAAATCTCTTTTTTGGGCCTAAATCTTATCATCTTTAAACCTTAAAACTCTTAAAAAAGGAAAATGGCATTTGTTATTCAACAAAAAGTCTAATAATGAATTATTCAGGAATGTGACTGAAAGAATGAATCAAAATAAATAGTTAATTATTTACAAAAAATGAAAGAATGCCAATTAAATATGTTCTTCTTTCACATGAAACTGCCCCAACTCCACTGTTAAAATGTGCCTAGACTCTTTGATCAGGTGTATATGTGAGTTAACAGGCTGTGAGATTGAGTCCTCACCATTGACAATGACCTTGATGACCCTCAGGTCGATTTCTCCTCGGGCCATGATGCGGCCCTCGCAGGTGTAGTCACCCTCATCTGTCTTTTTGATGCCGCGGATCTGGAGGTGGTTGTTGCTTAAGACCTTGAGACGGACTGTAGGTGTGAGATGGAAACAGAAAGAGAGAAAAAAATAAAATAAGAGGAAGCAAAATGAGACTGTAATTACTCTTGAGTAAGATAAGGAGACCATGTTAACGAGCCTCTCATTACATGCTGGGCAGCAAAATGACTCGCTGCTCATCTTCTCCCAGTATAAAATCATTTTTATGGGCTTTTCTGCAGTGCTATCTGTATTCATGACCCAAAGTAAAGGTGCATATAATATTTCAACCCCGTGGAGACATCGTATAACAGCACTGATATATTAAAAGCAATAAAAACACAAATTCAGCAAGATAAAGCACAACTTTCAAGCTTAGACAAATGTTGGAAATAGAATACTTGCCTAAAACATACAGTAGTGCATACAACAAGAAAGTGTCTTCAATTTTTTGATTGTTACAGTGCATGATTTGACTATTAAACTCATTTTATTTTGTATGTCCACTACAATAAGTCTGAATCCAAAATGTAAATACATTGTAACACTTCAGAACAGGGATCACCGAACTTGTTCCTGGAGGTCCGATGTCCAACTGGTTTTAGTTTCAACTCTAATCAAACGCACCTGAACAAGCTAATCAGGATCTTACTAGGTATACTTGAAACAGCCAGGCAGGTGTTTTGAGGCAAGTTGGCGCCAACCCCTGGGCACCAGACCTCCAGGAACAAGTCTCAAACTCAATTTCTAGAGGGCCGCAGCTGTGCAGTTTTGCTCTAACCCTAATCAAACACAGCTGATCCAACTCTGTTCAAGGTGTTCAAGATTACTATAGACTATGAAGCAGCGGTCACACTAGAGTTTGAGCTTGCAAAATTCTGTAGTATTGCGCTGAAAAGGGAAAAAGGGGCGGGATTAAACAAGATGATTAGACATTTAAAAAAAAAAAAAGCAAATGATTGCTCCATATTTTAAATTTCTGTCCAGAGAGGTCATGTTTTGATCCTTGGTTAGTCTCACGCAGTCAAGTGTTGCAATTTCGGAGTTCAGAGTTCACGAAGCTTGAACTTTGCAATGCAGTGAACGAAACTTGTCGCATGAGCTTGCGTTTCTGGTCTGATGCATTTGTGTGCATATGAATGCAATCCTAGGGAGGGAAAAGTCCAGTGTGACCGCAGCTTTAAGCTGGTGTGAGTTGAAGGTGATTGGAGCTAAACTATGCAGAGCTCTGGCCCTCTAGGAATTGAGTATATGATCACTTCTTTAGAATAATGGTCCATTAGTTCATTTATTTACTATCATTAACTAAGTATAAATAATCTTGTAAAGTATTTATTAACCATAGTTTAACATTAACTAATGCATTATTAAAATCTAAAGCTTTGCTTGTTCAAATGAATTAATGCACCATGAGTTAATATTATCTAACATTAACTAACATTATTCAACTTAAATAACATTTACAATAATGATAGTAATTTTTCCATCACCAAAATTAACTGATTTCTGTGAGAATCTTGAGTCCATGCAGGTTCCAATATGTCTTCTGCATTATCGGTGATGATTGGGATGCAGTTCAACAGATGATTCATCAGAAAAATCTGCCTTCTGCCACTTTTTCAAAAGATTAACTAGAAGTCATTATCTGTTGCTTTTACAACTGGGATCGACGACAAGACTTTTGCAAGGTAATGTATATAGCCTACTCTCTGCTCTGCCTGGTCAGATGAGGCTCAGTTTTGCTTGTGATTGGTCCACCACTTACTGTGTGTGTGTGTTGAAAACCAATTGATCATTACTATATCTAACACAATGATGTAAACACAGTGTTTCAAACAGTAATGCTGGTATTGACTTCAATGTATCATTTAAAGCCTGAGACTTTATATATAAAGAAGATTTGCTTTCACAGCACAAAAAACGTCAACATGAACATGAAACGACAATATGAATCAAACAAATGTGTTAGGACAAATGTTGCTATGTTGTGTTGCACCAAATCTAGAGCAGAGAGAGTCATTATAGTGATTATAGTGGGTGCTATTGTTTTTAGTGGCATCATGTCGCACCGCTTGCATCTGGTGCAGGCAACTCATCTTGAGTCATCTCGTCTTCACCTCCATTGCCTTAAAACATGAAATACTTCCAAACATCAGACTGTAATTTCACTGCAGCCATTAGTTGGGTACTGTGAACTTGAATTGTCTCTGTTTGGGTTTAAGGAGGAACGAGGATGAAATCTTCAAAAGCAGAAGCAAAGAATAGATACTATTTACATCCTCTAGAGGAAAGCATGCACATTAAGGATTGATTCAGGCTTTTGTGAATCAATATTATTTAGTTAAACTGAAAATTAATTAAGTTCAAAGAATCAATATTGTTCACCCAGTCCTACTTTTACATTCAGACAGGCACCTATAGGATGTCTGAAGAAGTATTAGTAGTTCATTGAAAATGAAAATTCTCTGATAATTTACTCTCCCTTTAGTTATTCCAAAACTTTTCTTTAATATGTTGAACAGAAGAAAATATTTTGAAGAAAGCTGATAAGTCATAACCATTGACTTCCATACTGTTTTTTTTTTTCGACTATGAAAGTCAATAGTTACAGGTTTTCAACATTCTTCAAACTATCTTCTTTTGTGTTGAACAGAATAAAAAAAGATCCACTTGAGGGTGAGTAAACAGTGAGTAGTTTCATTTTGGGTGAACTATTCCCTTTTCAATATTTTGTATCGTGATTCATTCAAACATGAAGGAACATTCATCAAAACGAAAAGCAGAGAGCAGAAGAGGTTAATGAAAGAAATGTGGAAAATGGTGTTATTTACATAGAGCAGTTTGGTTTTCAATCTCTGCTACAATTAGTGGTTTTGCAGTGAAAATCTCTGCGAGTTCACGTCTCACAGCAGAGATCTGCGGTTGCCGGTTCTTCCAGCGGTCTCTGAGGGAGGAGCCCTCTGAGGTTAAAATAGTTTCATCCAAATGAGCCTTGAACTCACAAACAAAACAGCTCAGATGAAAACACCATCATACTTTGAGTACACAGAGTTCTCAATTAATATTCAGGTGCTTCCCTGTCACTGATTTTATTGTGACAATGCTAAGAGAGCTTACACGTGTTACTGGAGGGTTTTGACAGGAATTATTTAAAGTCAAAACAGTAGCTACTTGAAAAGGGAAATAAATAAATAAATAAATAAATAAATAAAGCGAAGTAGATCTGACAGTAATACTGCACATCTTACCATCAGTCTCAGGCTGGATTCTCATCTTTTTATACCTCCAGATGATAGTTGGGGGTGGTGAGCTGATGACATCACAGATGATGTCAGCATCATCACCCTCGTTGAACTCTTGAGGCGATGGAGCATATTGAAAAGTGAGTTTCTCTGAAAAAGACATTTGAAATCTTCTTGTAAGAGATTATCTTGTATTACTTTTGCAAAAATCCCTCACTTAAAGCTCAAGTAGCAAAAGTGAATATGAAATTGAGGATTTCAGAACGAAAAATTAATTAATTCGGAGAAATGTCAACCCCCATTAGGTATATTTATAATTAAAATGCCTTAAATTTATAAATAGTCAAATAAAATAAATAAGGATATCATTACAAATTAAATAAAAAATTAATTTAATAGTTTAATAGAATGTATAATTTAACTAATTTAATTTGATATAACATTTCTAGTTCTACTTGCATACATTGGTCAGAACAGCATAATTAAATACAACAACAGTGTAGAGTGAGAAACTATGATGTCACCTTGTAGGCTAATCTGCTGCTAGCATAAAACTGGTTCCCTCGATAAAACCCTATAGGATTTTCCTAAAGGCTTTTCGAAGATTGCAAATAATAAGCTCTGTGTTCAAACACAGTTCATTACACTTACATGTTTTGTCCAACCATTAAATCCTCACATGGAAATACAACTGTTAGCACTTTTGGATCTTGAGTGCAAACGCAAGAATTGAAAAGCTAACATTAGGTGCTCGCCTTTGACCTCGACTGCCCTGCTATAGACAACTTTTCAAGTTTATTTTTAGAAATATGGTCCATGACAAAGATTTACTCTCTCGGTTTATTATAGTATAATCCACGCTATATATTATGAATTAATAAAAATGCAAAAACACATAAACCTACATGCCTTATAGATAGTTTTTGCATGTGGGAAATATATTTTGTATTGCTTTACAGTAGTAAACAGTACTATATCTATAGTATTATCATAAGACTAAATACAGTAAGCGTATTGCTTGTGTGCATACAGCCCGCTTACCTTAGTAACAGACAACAGAAATGAGGCGTGATGGACAAGTCTATACAGTATTATACAGTACTGTATGCTTGCAAGTTCCATCATGGACACAGAACAACATTGCATGTTCTTTTTTTTTTTTTGCCACAAAGTACAGCGAAAAGCAGCCCATACAGTCATATATGCTATACATTTTAAGAAAGAGTGTAAATACTGCAGTTCTAACAGAGTTAAAAAATCTATTGATCACATTAAAGTGACAGTTAACATGTATGTATTTTTTACACAATTATTCTTTCGTTTGCATTACTGAGAGCAGGAAAGCACAGACTGGACTGGAAAACAGTATCCCCATAATATTGTTTAATTTAAATAAATGATTAATTTAATTATAACAAATTAATGTTTTGACAGTCTTTACAAGTGAAGGCATTATGTACACACAAAATAAATTCCCAATCAGAAAAAACTAAAAACTATTAAATACTATTCATAAAATAGAAAAATAGCGAGCTGCATTCCAGACCAGTTCAGCTCAATGGCGCATAATGTCTCCAACACCGCCTGTAGTCCCATTTAGCAACTTGATAGCAACCGTCTTTTAAAAGAAGAGTAACTGATTAAAAAAAGTCAAGAGTGTGATGTTACTGATGTGTTTTATGTTGTGGAATAAAAGGTGAAAGTATCTTGAGTTTGTGTTAGCCACAAACCTTTTTTAAGCGATTTAACTGAAATCCCATTCAAAATACCCATTGACTTTAAGACGAGGGAAGCGGATCTGCTAAAATGCTTACTCGTTTCCGGTTTTTGCATACAAATTGACATCATAGTTGCTCTACTCCACTACAATGAATTTTTTTAATAATTCATACATAATAAAAATCATAACAGAAAATCGATAATTTTGAGGGAAGATGATGATGACATTGTATGGCACTTTTGCATTTCTCATAAAACCCTTTTAAAAAGATCACAAACACTTCACTTACGGAAAATTTTTACAATGATGGTGCCCTGAGATTCCTTTTCTCCGCTTTTTGCCACACACTTGTACATTCCCGCGTGATCGACATTAGCATTGTAGATTGTGAGTGTCGACGAGGACTCGTCAGTCTTGCTGATGCTGATGTCTGGTCTTCCTGGCAAGAGCTTCTCCCCATTGGGTGCAAACCAGTCTATTTCCTTAGCATCTCCAACAACTGGAACCACAGACAGACAGATCAAGAGAGTAAGAAGACACTGTGACAGCTCATCAGATCTGAGGCAAACTTTAAACTACATTTTTGCTTTGCATTAACGGCTGAAATACTCAGAGCAGTTCAAATGCTTTCATTCTTTGTTTAGAAGTAAAAATAAGAAATACCTGAGCAGAAATCAGCAGTTGAGAAAGCATCTGACAACAGTAGTGAGAATGTTTGCACAAGCAATCCAGCAGTTCATTGAAGTCATGTTATTGTTCAAATTTGGTGTTACTTAAGTCGGTGTTGCTATCAATTAGAATTGCATGTCAATTTCTACTAGAAAAAAAAAAAAAAACTGAATTTCATTGTTTATATTTTAAGACATAGACATCTGATCTTAGAAGATTAAACAGGAAATAATCTGATTTACATTTGATTAAAGACAGAGGGCTCTATTTTGACGGTCCATGCGCAGAGCGCAAAACGCAGGGCGCAACCGCTTTCAGGGCGTGTCAGAACGCATTTTTGCTAATTTACGGACGGGAAAATGCGCTTTGCGCCAAGGCGCATAGGCTAAAAGGGTTGAGTTCATTTTCTTATTGAGTTATAGGTGTGTTTTAAGAATAAACTAATTATAGTTTCATCTCCCATTCCCTTTAAGAGCCAGCTGCGTCGCGCCAAGAGCGCATTCGCTATTTACAGAACTCAAAGTAAGTCTAAGTGGAAAAAATTAGCATTTCACAAGCAAACAGTTAACAGTTAACAATTTTTTTAACAGAAAACTGTTAAACAGAGCATCTACTGCGTGAGAATGAGAGATAATGAAACTACTTTCACATTCGGTCTTGGATAGGGAAACCTTTACGCACAGACATCAATTAGCCTATAAATAATTAATTTCGTTTGTTAAGTGCAAAGATTTGTTTCAAAACTATTTCTAAATTCAGTTCTAATTTCTAGCAAACAAATAAATGAACAATAATGACCAAGTGTGGTCAAAATACTGAGTTATTTCCAAATACACCTGCCATGCCCCATATGGTCTAAAACCTGACAGGTGGGCAAATCTAAGCTTGTTTTTAATAAAACAAATATAAATATGAGTATAATAAATAATACTGCTAATAATAATAACATTATACAAAAGCAAATTGTTATGAATGAACTGAAAAAGCCTCCTGAGATGAAGAAGACATAAAAGCAGTGATTTTTCATATTTATGTAGGCTAGAAAATAATATGTTTTGTAATATTTTAATCCTTTATATTTATATCCTATATCTATGCTTATTATATCATATATATCCTTAATGTTTAATTTTTTCATATGTAAATATATTTGACTATTGCTCTCTTGTGTGTATTAAGCAGTGCGTAAGGTGCGCCGGAGTTTAGACCGGGTTAGTTTTGGTCTAATGCAAAATCTATTATAGTTTCTCAAAATAGCGACGCGCCAGCGGTCCGCCTCAGAACGCCTTCCTTTTTAGACCAGAAAGCCTATGGGCGCACAAATGAGCGCTAATGGATTTGCTATTTAAACAGCATAGTGCAAAACGACTCTTGCGCCAAGCTGAAACTACCAAAAGACTATTGCGCCGCGTCTTGCGCCACACTGCGCCGGGTGTATGATAGGGCCCAGAGTATCAGAGCCACACCTACATATTACATCATATCCCCTGACAAATGGCTATCAAAAGTATATCAGCATAATTAAATATATCAGAGACTGTCATTCATTCATTATCCTTAAGCTTAATCCCTTTATTTATTAGGGGTCACCACAGTGGTATGAACCGCCAACTTATCCAGCATAAGTTTTATGCAGAATAGGATGGATGCTCTTCCAGCCACAACCCAAAACTCGGAAACACCCATACATTCTCACATTTACACTCAAACACTATGGCTAATTTAGTTTATTCAATTCAACTATACCGCATGTCTTTGGACTGTGGGGGAAAGCGGAGCACCCAGAGAAAACCCCTGCAGACATGCAAAGAACATGCCAACTCCACACAGAAAGGGAACTGATCTAGCCAGGGCTCAAACCAGTGACCTTCTTGCTGTGGCAAGATGGCGCCAGGCTGTTTGGCTTGTCGTTTGCCACTCAAATATCCATATATTTTATTGTTTTTACTGCTTTCTTTCGTATTATGCGCCCATTGCTGTTTTTAATGTTTTATGCACATATCATGTGTTTATTTTCTCTCTGTAGAGCACTTTGTGCAGCCATATGGCAGGTGGAAACATGCTATGTAAATAAATTGAACTTGAACTTGAACTTAACCACTGAGCCACCACACCACCATCAGAGACTGTATATATGCAAAATATATGCAAAATATCTCACAAAGCAGACCACTTTTCTAAATATAGGATAATATAGATAAAATAAATATCTAAATAACGAATATACATTAGTCCTAATTAATTCTAGATTATATTTCCAAAGTGTATTCCAAAGTATTTTATGTGTATGCTTTATAATGATACTTGATCAAATATAACAAATATACATCCTAGACTTTGTCTACCTTTGCCTAAAATATAGTTTTATGGTACATTTAATATATTTTATTATTTAATATATTTTAACACACAAACATTTAATTAAATAACTGCATCACTGCATCATAAATTTCAACTGAAATAAATCAAACTCACAAGCTTATGAATCAAATCACTGTCATAGTTTTAATCAATTTCTCTTTAAAAATGATCACCGTCTTAATGTTTAATGAGCTTAATGTTCTCATGCTCTCATAAGAAATTATTTTTTACATTATTAATCTGCAACCAATTAAACATTGTAAATATATTGATAATGGTTTATATAAAAAATAACAGAAAGTGTTAAAACAGATAATGTACAATAATACAGACTTCAAGAGTTTACACTCAGATATTGCTTGACGCTATTACCAGTCATGCTGACCCGGGAGAGAACCCTGAGCTCGGAATATTTCAGAGGTTCCTCATTTATAACAAAATTTGTTTTTTGTATTTCTACTACAGTCATTCCTGTTTCAACATATTTTCACCATAAAATAATAAAGAACTAAAATTCGCAAACCAATTCATTGCAAGAATCAGGCAGATCAATAAAATTGTGAGCTGTAAATAAGCCCATCAAAGCTTTAGTCAGCCTTGCCCAACCATCAGAATGAAGAGGCTCGCTTAAATCCTTGAACCAAGTGCTAACGGCAGGTTTGAAATCAAAGGCACTCCATGAAGGTTAAATGTGACGCGACCCCTGATTTGTTTCATCACAGGAGTGTCATCGTCTTACCTTCACACAAAAAGAATTTGGACTCTCCAACGCTGATCTCTCCCTGGGTCGGAGTGATTTCCACTTGCAAGGCAGCTGGAGAAAAGAGAGACAAAGCGAGAATTCAGTATTTCAGAAATAACCCACATGGATGTGATACACCGATCATACAAGGGATGGAGTTTCAAGACACCCTGAGTACCTTTTTTGAAATTTTAACAGATTTGTGTCTGTTGAGCTTCAGTTAATATAATGTTAGCACCTGTCAGCTTTAATTATGGGGAAAATTGCATAGTTTGAAGCTTTTGTCAGCTAATTTTATTTTCTGAGTTTAAAACAATTTTTGGGGCGGTATCAAAATCAGTTCCATAGCGCGAATCCGCTAGTGAAGTCTGTTTCTCATTATTATTCATAGCAGAATTTTCTAAGCCTATGAAAAGAGCCTTCTTCTTAATTATTCATGAAAGCACATGCTTTCCGGAAGCAAGGCAGACCTGTCGAGCTGTGAAACCCAATGACTGGGTGAGACCGTGTCTGGGCATGGCATGAGTCGAATGTGTTTGTTTCCATGATCAATGGGCTTTGTTGCTTGTTTTTCCCCACGGTTATGTCAGGGCCGATACAGCAAAAGCTGTTGGTTTGCAGCAAGCAATTTTGTCGGGAGAGCTGTACGAGAATTGGAGGATGGCAGACTTTTATCAGTTGAGTTCGTTACTATTCAGACACATTGCCTATGTACTCATTTAGAGTGTTCATAAAAACATGATTATCTTTTTGATGATGTAAAAAATTGTAGTTATGTGTATTTGAAATTATGAATAACAAATGTAGTAGGGCTTTACTTACTGTTAATTTCTTAGCATTTTACCTTTGAAAGCTATACAATTATGGGTCTCCTCATGGTTTGTGTCTCATTTTGTGAGCCAGCTGACAACATTTGTTCGCTCCCCTCTTTTTCCCTGCTCTGGTGGCTATGCCCACTCCTCCCTCTGCTCACAGAGCTCCACATCTCAGGACATTTTTCGAAAAAATTCTGAGGTAGACTTGAACCAAAAGAGGGGGGTTTCACGGCCCTTTAAAAGCAACTTGTTAGTAGAGGTCTGCATTCCCTGCGGGCGCGCAGGACCCGACCAGATTTCTGCGGCGCTGGAATAAATTTCCGAATAAATTGCGGGAGCGGTCGGTAAAGGGTTTAATTTGGGACGGGAGCGGGCTGTCTAGCTATAGCGCGGATATTGCTATGCGAATGAGAGAGAGAGAGAGAGCGAGCTTTGCCTGTGTGTGTGCTTGGTGCTTGTGTGTGTATGTATGTATGTTAGTGCGCGCGCGCGAATGAGAGAGAGAGAGCTTTCCCAGATAGCAAAATACACTCGGGCCAGTTCCGGCTAGATTCTCGCCTGCAAGAGACTTACCACTCAGCCCGGCTCCGGCTGCCGGACTCCGGATGCTTGTGGACTCACTGCCCGATTCCGGCCCGAATCAATCGGGCCAGATGCGGCGGCCGTAAGCAAGCCGACGCTGCCGCATCCGCGCCGGAATCGGCCTGAGAGTAATGTGCAATTCAGTATTTATATACCTTTATATAAAACCTTTTGGTATTACATTGGTACTTGACACATGGCATTACAAGCCTTTGAGTTGATATAACAGCAAACGCCTGTGTGTCTGCTTGGAGCTTGTGTGTGTGTTAGTGCGCGTGCGCGTATGAGAGAGAGATTTGTCTGTGTGTGTGTGCTTGGTGCTGTGTGTGTGTTTGTTTATACAGACAGCTTGGCTGTCTGGACTGTATAGCTGGGGGATTTCCGGTTTTGTTCTCCCCCGCTCTTTAGCAGGATCGGGCGCGGCGGGCAGAAAACGGGGCGGGACGGGCAGCGGGACAATAAATTCTTAATATAAGCGGGAGCGGTCGAGTTTGGGCTAAAACCTGGCGGGTGCGGGCGGGAGCGGGATTCAAAATTTAGTCCCGCGCAGATCTCTACTTGTTAGTCGGTTTCCTGCATGATTTGTTAACATGTTTCTGATGTTTCTGGAGCAGTTTTAATTTTATATCAAGCGAAGCTGCAGCCCTTGGAATGAACAGATGCATGTGAATAATTACACATATCTACAAAAAGTAAAAGAGTAAGCCACAACATCCAGAAATACCTAGCAGACTAAACATTCTGGAGCAGAAGTTTAAAAGTAGCTCTTCATCTCATTTATATAGTGTATTTATTCATATTTAAAGGCATTTCACATGCTCAAGATATTTAGTTGATTAAAAATAAATATGAAGAGGTATGAAGAGATTAGATGTCCCCGAGTGACGTCTGAATTTTTCTTCGAAATTTAATAAAAAAAATTTTCTAAGCCTGCAATGTTTATGTTATTTTAATTCAAAAGCAAGAACAAAACCTATTATTTATACACTATATATGTTTGGATATATTGTATATCCAAACAAGAACAAGATTTTCCACAACAAATGCTTACTGGCAGAATATACAGTACTGTTTAATCTTTATCAATGAAATTACACTGATCAATGAAATTACCCAGTCATTTTTCTACGATTGGAAAACCTACTGTAGTTGGTTCTCATCCATCATGACCCATTCTTAAATTTTACCCGTAACACACTTGTACAGTACATGTTCCTCCTACACATTTTAACTAAAGCTTCTCTTTGTTATCTAATTACTAAGGTAGTTTACATAAAATCACAGTTTGTGTCTCGAAGCTAAAACGAGAAGCATATGCTGCACATCCCCAGTGACTGGGCCTGCCAACCAATTAAAACGCACTCCTGGGAAGGATGTTGTCTGTGGGTGTAAGAGGAGCACAAGGCCGTGCATTTTTGGACCTGAAGATAACAACACGTCAATAGCTCTGGCTCTTTTCCAGCTCTGTTAATGTGGCAGGCGGAGATGAGTATTTACTGCGGTACAGAAGCGAGCGAGAGCAATGTGCAGCAAACCGTAGCTATGGAAACCCTGAGTACTGTCACAAGCGCTTATTGAAAAACCTCAGTGTTAGGCAGGCTGATTCTTGGACTAAATATGACAATTAGGGCTCGGCACTATCAGAAATATGGTGAATTATAGGCCTCTCACAAACTTTTTTTCCACCCACAATTACCTGGGGGTTCTGAACTACACTGATATTTGATAATGGTACCTTAAGCTTCAATTTTCCAGTTTAATAGAAGGTACCTGATGGAGCTCCCTGAACATTTTTATTCGTGTGCAGTTGGGGAGCGTAATGCTGTAAATGATAGCATATTAGTTTCTCGATATGAGGCTAATATGTTTCATCTTCCTGCATCAACTGCCGTGAATGAGATGACTGTAGGCAGCAAGCGGCTGTTAGCTTTACAACTGACAGATACCTTCAGATTTCAAGGACAAGGACGAAGGCAGACCTGTGAAACTGTACCTGCCGGAAAACAACAGCTGATTGCTTTCTGTCATGGAAACTGTCAATCATGAGCACCCTAAAAAAACTGCAGGAATTCTTTGTGTCTTGAAGTTTGTAGCAAGAGAGGAACTGACCTAGAACCGAGCCACATAAGATTGATGAAATTACATCGTTTTACTCAGAGCTTGTTTATTCACACTGTATTCATGGGTAATTAGAAAATCGCTTTATTCAACGAGTCCCATTTACACAAATTGATTGACATTTGAATGTCGAACCCTGCATAAGTCAAGGAAGGCTTTTGAAATCAATGCAAAACTATTCCTTTGATTAAGAAACATTAAGGCTGTGTTCACAGTTGGCAGGTTTGCTTCGATTAAAACTAACTGAAGTGTGTCAGCCCTGATATAATAGAGGACAATGTGTCAACATATACTGTACTGTGGGAAACCCAAGTTTAGGCCCAGACTTGTGGATCTTTCCCAAACCCATCCCTCTCACTTCCCAAATTTGCTTCCAGTCAATACACAGTCATAAGACAATTAAGGCAAGAATTCAAACAATAAATAAATAAACAAAAACCAACTGTAGTGTGATTGCTGTGTTAGTTTATTTAAATAAGTGTGCACCCCATACTCATATGTTGACCACTGAAAATATGGTCTCCCTCTATTTCTATAGTTCAACTGAAAATATAAAAGCAACACAAACCAAATGCATCTGAATGAAACAATAACAGAATTTTATGTCACAAGATGCACCCATAAAAAGAAAGCTCAAGCAATGACCATCAAAGTTACAATACATGTATTCATTTAGCCCATCACAAAGCACTGACCTGGATTTCCAATAAATTCGGAAATTTGTAAAGTGCACAGCACAAAAGCCTATTTTGTATCTTTAGATTATAGGTCTTAAAAATGTAACACTACCTGTAAGTGAACCGAGACTAACTTATTTTCTTTTGGGTTCATAACAAATGCTATAACCAAACTAGAAAACCAAAGTAGAATATTACTATTTATGCATTTTGCAGCCAACTATATCATTAAGATAAATATTGAATGCAAACTGTTGATTCATGACTTTGATGTAACTAAAATATTTTCATCTATATTAATCAGACCATCTAGTTTTTTTTTGCCATTTTGCGTTCACTGAATTCCATGCAAAATTAACAAAAAGATGCAAAATAACCACAAAAATTTGAATAATTTCATAAAACATCCAGTTCCAAACCATATATTGAAATTATATGTATTTCAGTCTGCAATTAATGAAGCGTGTGTAATTTACATGTGAAGTCAATGCAAAGATGGGATTAGACATCCTGTGGTGCGAATTGTGTGTTTTGTAACGCATGTTTGATGCACTTAAGACTGCAAAAGAAAGAGGGATCAAGAATCTAACAAACAGTGCAATGGAACAAACAGAAAAGCAAGCAGCTTACAATGATGGAGATTGGTTAAAGGATGACAGGTGCTGGACTTGACTGAATAGAAGGACATTATTTGTGCTTTACATGTAAGGGTGGTATTATGATGTGCATCAAATCAATAAATTATTAAACTCTTTACCTGCAGTTAACGAGAGAAAACGCTTCACTGACAAGTTTTACATCAATCTGTGTTTTAGGTTTATTATGGTAGGGGAAGCCCTGACGCATGTCCTGAGTGAAGTACATGATGTCAGATGTTCCA